CCAGAGTTACCTCTGCTGCAGAGGATAAGTTCATTACAGTTACCAGCCTCAGAAATTGCAGCCCAAATAAATGCTTCAGAGTTCAAGTAACAGACATCTCAAAATCAACTGTTCAGAGGAGACTGCGTGAATCAGGCCTTCATGGAATTGCTGCAAAGAAACCACTACTAAAAGGACACCAATAAGAAGAGACTTGCTTGGGCCAAGAAACACAAGCAACGGACATTAGACCAGTGGAAATCTGTCCTTTGGTCTGGAGAGTCCAAATTTGAGATTTTTGGTTCCAACCGCTGTGTCTTTGTGAGACGCAGACTAGGTGAGCGGATGATCTCTGCATGTGTGGTTCCCACCGTGAAGCATGGAGGTGGTGGTGTGATGGTGACACTGTCAGTGATTTATTTAGAATTCAAGGCACACTTAACGAGTATCGCTACCATAGCATTCTACAGCGATACGCCATCCCATCTGGTTTGCACTTAGTGGGACTATCATTTGTTTTTCAACAGGACAATGACCCAACACACCTCCAGGTTGTGTAAGGGCTATTTGACCAAGAAGGAGAGTGATGGAGTGCTGCATCAGATGACCTGGCCTCCAAAATCATCTCAATTAGGTTGAGGTTGGGTGGTTTGGGATGAGTTGGACCGCACAGTGAAGGAAAAGCAGCCAACAAGTGCTCAGCATATGTGGGAACTCCTTCAAGAGTGTTGGAAAAGCATTCCAGGTGAAGCTAGTTGAGAGAATGCCAAGAGTGTGCAAAGCTGTCATCAAGGCAAAGGGTGGCTACTTTGAAGAATCTAAAATATATTTTTTGTTACTACATGTCTTCACGATTATTCTACAATGTAGAAAATAGTAAAAATAAAGAAACCCTTGAATGAGTAGGTGTGTCATTCTAGAAGAATGGCGCCGGAGGAGATGGCTGCCGTTTTATGGGCTCCTAACTAAATGTGCTATTGTGTGTGTTTTTCTGCGTTATTTGTAACTTATTTTGTACATAATGTCTCTGCCACCGTCTCTTACGACCGAAAATAGCTTCTGGATATCAGGACAGTGATTACTCACCTTGTTGTGGACGAAGATTATTTATTTAACGAGTCAGACACGAAGGACTTTCTTCAAACACCCGACAAGGCCAAAATCCCCATCATTCACATGAGAAAGATATCTGGGACGTAGGTCGGGGTGCCTTGTAAGGATCCGACGGCGAGTGGGTAATATGCCTGTACCATCAGTCCTTTTAGCCAACATACAATCATTGGATAACAAAATAGACGAACTACGAATACGGATATCCTACCAACGGGACATAAAAAACTGTAATATCTTACGTTTCACCGAGTCGTGGCTGAACGACAACATGGATAACATACAGCTGGTGGGATATACACTGCATCGGCAAGATAGAACAGCTGCCTCCAGTAAGACAAGGGGTGGTGGTCTGTGTATATTTGTAAACAGCTGGTGCACGAAATCTAATATTAAGCAAGTCTCAAGGTTTTGCTCGCCTGAGGTAGAGTATCTCATGATAAGCTATACACCACACTATTTACCAAGAGAGTTTATCTATATTTTTTAGTAGCTGTTTATTTGCCACCACAAACTGATGCTGGCACTAAGACCACACTCAATGAGCTGTATAAGGCCATAAGCAAACAGGAAAACGCTCATCCAGAGGCAGCGCTCCTAGTGGCCGGGGACTTTAATGCAGGGAAACTTAAAACTTTAATGCAGGGAAACTTAAACTCTCTAGATCACCTTTACTCCACACAAAGAGACGCATACAAAGCTCTCCCTCGCACTCCATTTGGCAAATCTGACCATAACTCTATCCTCCTGATTCCTGCTTACAAGCAAAAACTAAAGCAGGAAGCACCAGTGACTCTGTCAATAAAGAAGTGGTCAGATGACGCAGATGCTAAGCTACAGGACTGTTTTGCTAGCACAGACTGGAATATGTTCCGGGATTCTTCCGATGGCATTGAGGAGAACACCACATCAGTCACTAGCTTCATCAATAAGTGCGTCGATGACGTCATCCCCACAGTGACTGTACGTACATACCCCAACCAGAAGCCATGGATTACAGGCAACATCCACACTGAGCTAAAGGGTAGAGCTGCCGCGTTCAAGGAGCGGGACTCTAACCCGGACGCTTGTAAGAAATCCCACTATGCCCTCTGACAAACCATCAAACAGGCAGGGCTTGCAAACTTTTACAGACTACGAAGGGAAGCACAGCAGTGAGCTGCCCAGTGACACGAGCCTACCAGACAAGCTAAATTACTTCTATGCTCGCTTCAAGGCAAGCATCACTGAAGTATGCATGAGAGCATCAGCTGTTCCGGACGACTGTGTGATCACGCTCTCCGTAGCCGATGAGTAAGAACCTTAAACATGTCAACATTCACAAGGCCGTAGGGACAGATGGATTACCAGGACGTGTACTCCGAGCATGCGCTGACCAACTGGCAAGTGTCTTCACTGAGATTTTCAAACTGTCCCTGAAGGAGTCTGTAATACCAACATGTTTCAAGCAGACCACCATAGTAACTGTGCCCAAGAACTCTAAGGTAACCTGCCTAAATGACTACCGACCCGTAGCACTCACATCTGTAGCCATGACGTGCTTTGAAAGGCTGGTCATGGCTCACATCAACACCATTATCCCAGAAACCCTAGACCCACTCCAATTTGCATATCGCCCTAACAGATCCACAGATGACGCAATCTCTATTGCACTCCACACTGCCCTTTCCCACCTGGACAAAAGGAACACCTACGTGAGAATGCTATTCATTGACTACAGCTCAGCATTCAACACCATAGTGCCCTCAAAGCTCATCACTAAGCTAAGGACCCTAGGACTAAACACCTCCCTCTGCAACTGGATCCTGGACTTCCCGATGGGCCGCCCCCAGGTGGTAAGGCTAGGTAACAACACAGGGGGCCCCTCAGGGGTGCGTGCTCAGTCCCCTCCTGTACTCCCTATTCAGCCATGACTGCATGGCCAGGCACGACTCCAACACCATCATTAAGTTTGCCGATGACACAACAGCGGTAGGCCTGATCACCAACAACGATGAGACAGCCTGAGGGGAGGTCGTCAGAGACCTGGCCATGTGGTGCCAGGATAACAACCTCTCCCTCAACATGATCAAGACAAAGGAGATGATTGTGGACTACAGGAAAAAGAGGACCGAGCACGCCCCCATTCTCATCGACAGGGCTGTAGAGGAGCAACAAACTATCATGGTCCAAACACACCAAGGCAGTCGTGAAGAGGGCACGACAAAGCCTATTTTCCCTCAGGAGACTGAAAAGATTTGGCATGGGTCCTCAGATCCTTAAAAAGTTCTACAGCTGCACCATCGAGAGCATCCTGACTGGTTGCATCACCACCTGGTATGGCAACTGCTCGGCCTCCGACCGCAAGGCACTACAGAGGGTAGTGCGTATGGCCCAGTACATCACTGGGGCCAAACTTCCTGCCAACCAGGACCTCTATACCAGGCGGTGTCAAAGGAAGGCCCTGAAAATTGTCAAAGACTCCAGCCACCCTAGTCATAGACTGTTCTCTCTGCTACTGTACGGCAAGCGGTACCGGAGCGTCAAGTCTAAGTCCAAAAGGCTTCTTAACAGCTTCTACCCCCAAGTATGAAAAAAGCATGCACTCACTAAGTCGCTCTGGATAAGAGCGTCTGCTAAATGACTAAAATGTAAGCCATAAGACTCCTGAACAGCTAATCAAATGGCTACCAGGACTATTTGCATTGTTCCCCCCACCCCCTCTTTTACGCTGCTGCTACTCTCTGTTTATTATCTATGCATAGTCACTTTAACTCTACCTACATGTACATATTACCTCAACTAACCTGTGCCCCCACAAACTGACTGTACCAGTACCCCCTGTTTATAGCCTCGCTACTGTTATTTTACTGCTGCTCTTTAATTATTTTTTACTTAACACTTATTTTTCTTAAAACTGCATTGTTGGTTAAGGGCTTGTTGTATTCGGCGCATGTGAGAAATAAAATTTGATTTGAGTCCAAACTTTTGACTAGTACTGTACATTTCAACACGTTTTTAGAAGAATGGGCAATTTCTTCACTGGTTGATTTATATTACGCTCTTTGTGTAACAGAGGAAGAATCCTGAACGATAAAAAGAAATTAGGCTGACAACACGGAGCTAAGTGAGCATATTATATGAGAAAACTACACTAAATAAAGCCTTTTACATTGGTGTCTGAAAAAACTAAGTTCTTTCAACCCATGCATTTTTTTTACAGCGTTTGTAGTAAAAAGCACTTTTAACATCTAAACAAAGTCACAACTGTGAGACGTGCCTTTGAGACTGTAAAAAGCCAATTGAAAAGCCAAGAAACAAATGCAAAAGCACAACATCAACAAAAGTCTTAATAAGGACACTTCTCCTTGAATGAGGAAAAAGTCTATGAAAGACAAAAGAAACCGAAGTGAGCACACTTCTCCTTCATTCGTCTGAATGAGAGCCAGCAGGGGAGGTCTGGACGAGGGCTGTGTAGCTCTCAGCAGGCAGGGCCAGGCAGAGAGACCCTGGGGCAGCAGTAAAGGAGTCTGGAACCTCTACAGAGATCACATTTCATGGCTGCCTCCCGCCCGGCTCCACAATGACCTGTAGTAACCCTGTGTGCTGCGTGGTTACTGTAGGTCGTTTCACTGTACAACTCGAATCAGGAAGTCACAACTAACTTCACAGGCTACAGTACTGACTGATCTGGTTGTTTCTCTTACCCCCTCCTCCTCGTGGAGGAATCTGAACGGTTGAGTTAGAGATTATGTTGTAATATGAATATTTTGTAAGTAACGTGCCCTAGGTTTTTCTCTCTCCGTTTTTCATCTTAACAAGATGATGCAGGGATGGAAGAGAATGACTATTGTAATGAGATGGTTAAATATGCATATGCTCATGATGTGGTGTTGAGTTTTGTCTGTGTGCGAGAGAGAATATCCATACCTAGTCTGTTCCTGGAGTATGAGATGTGGTTCCACAAAGAACTTGACTCTAAGCCGGAGTCTGCAGGGAGTCAGATTGTCCATCTGCTGACAGATTCTGTTCCTCAGGTTGAGCCACAGGTTCTCTCCCTTACTGCCTGAGAACTGCAGGCCAAAGTAGTCCACCTCTATGATTCCCAACTTCCTACACACCTTTGGAATAAAGAAGTCAGTTATGTAGAAACACACAAAAAACATGTAAGAACCAAAGTCACACCACAAATAAAAGCCAAAGTAGCCTAAACCCAAGGCGCAGGAAAAAAATAAGATATTTACAGTTTGTGTCAGCCTAGAAGCTTATGGAGAATCTTCAAGAAAATATGAGACAGTTTAGCATGTTTCTTTATTACTGTTTTTGCATTTGCAATTGACTCTGGGGCTCATATACCTCAATATCAAGGCAGTAAAGCCGGTGGGAGCAGTTGGTGGAAAATACATTGGGATATTTTTCCCGCGGTAATAAACATCACGAGCACATCCCACGCGCCTCTCTCCAGCAGCAGGGAAGGAACGGAGTTATGTAACATCAAGTGTAGCCTAAATCCAGAGGGGACCGAGGGTGAGATAACTATACCACTCAAAAGACATGTCAACGCCCTGTGCATATGAGATAGGGGCTTAGAACGAATAGGCCCTCTGACAAATTCACGTTTACGGATTGATGACTAGGCCTCCATCATTGGCACCATAAAGTTTTGTGCACATGATAATTACATGATAATTGATCTAACGACATGAGTATTTATTAACTCTAAAAACTGATTGTTGAAATGTGATAGGCTACTATTGGATATTCAATGTTGATTAAGTCAACTGTAGGCTATTTCCATGAGAACACCCATTGAAGCTACACAACATTGCTAAGCATGCACAGGGACCAACATGAACTGAAGTAACCTTGGCCTGACAAAGCCATATACTTTCCTCGCGACTAGACTACCAGGAAGCAACTCACTCCGATAGTACCTTCATACACATTTAGAAAATCACCAACTTTGTAGGCTCTTTCTTTGTTACGAAAAATGTAGCCAACTTATTTCCGATCAAAGCAACATTGTTGCATGATAGAGAATGATCAAAAAAAAAAAACATTGTAAAGTGGTTATCCCACTGGCTATAAGGTGAATGCACCAATTTGTAAGTCGCTCTGGATAAGAGCGTCTGCTAAATGACGTAAATGTAAATAGAGGAAGCACATGTATCGCTGTGTGTGACAATGTAGCATACATATCCAGTGACAGACAATGCTTTTTAGAGAGAACTGACGCTGGCGACAGAAAATCTAACAATAAACAGGAACTTTGAACATCAAAATGTGGATTTCTCATCTCGGCAACAAAAAACACGTTCATGCTGCCAAAGTGTTGCGTTTTAATAAAACAAAAATTGCACTTGCAAGACAATTTTCACTGGAATTCGACACAAATGTAGCTATAGCCTACAAATAACGTATAACAACCTAAAAACAGAAAAATACCGAAAGGGAGAATTAAAATCAGTATCCACCTTATTCAGACAGTCTTCACCATTCGCCTTCGAATCAACTTCCACTTCCATAACCACCGAATCCGGACGGGTAACATGGCAAAGCATTTTGGCTGTCTAATATTCTATATTTGGTCTATACCTCTCTTTTAAAATAACACAACCACGGTATTCCTCTTTTGAGACCCTACATCAAACCTTCGTCCACTTTCCAAACCCTCTCACTTCGTGTGGCAGCCAAACACTCCCTACCAGCTGTAGGCTATATCAATGAATTGCTATGCAAAGCACTGCCTACTCCGAAGCAGCCACTGACAATGAGTTTAGCATATTCGCAGCCACGAGCCTTCCACCCGCGAGCCCCGTTATATCCATACGGCCAGTGCAATCCGGAATCCTTGGGACGTCCCTACCCTAAACCCTAATCCAGGGGTGTCAAACCGGGGGGGGGCAACTCAAAATACTTAAAAATAACTACAACGAAATCGAAACTGTATAAAAATGATAATGGACCTATATTCATACACTTTATTGACTGTACAGCCCACTAATAATCACAAGACAGTCAGGGAACATAGACATTTCAAAAAATTATGGATAGAGGATTAATTTTTGCAAATATTGAGTCAAGGAAATATTTTTAAAATTCAGTGCGGCCCTCCAGACCTCGTTGAAGACCGAATGCGGCCCCCAGGTCAAAGTGAGTTAAACACCCCTGCCCTGCCCTAACCTAATCATAACCATAACCCTTACCTTACCTAACCCTAACCTTAACCCTTACCTTAACCATTTACATTTCAATGGGGTAGGGACATCCCAAGGATTCTGAATAGCACAGGCCATATTCAAACGAGACTGTCTCGTGGTACAATGCATGATGAGGACAACAAAGGCGCCCCCTTCTGGGGTTTTCTCCAGAGTGTGCAGCTCGTTGGACCTCCCATAAGTCTATGGGACCTTCACCTGCTTGGTAAGAGTTGACCATCCATGGAAATATCTGGCATAGAGTTGCTCTGAGTAAGTTGAGAGCTGCATATGAATTAATAATGTATTGAAATAGGCTACTGATCAGAAATAGCAGCAGTAAAGGACTATGTGCACCCCAACCATTTATTTATGTGCTTACTTTCACAAGCATCTTAATGTTTAATGCCAAAAGCTCCCATTGTTATTGCCTAATACACTCCCTTGCCTTGTGCCCAGTGAGCAAAGTATATTCCTGTACGTTGGCTAGAGCTAGGTATACGCCTACTACCTGTCTCTATGTTACTGACATTCAGTAGCCTACTGTGTAAGTCAGACAAGCATTGCAAGCATGTGCAGAATGAGACGTGGATAAATCATTTGACAGGTAGACTGGTTGAGCACCAAACATGTGGTTGTTTCTGAGGTTTCCCCAGTTATACAGTGGGGGAAAAAAGTATTTAGTCAGCCACCAATTGTGCAAGTTCTCCCACTTAAAAAGATGAGAGAGGCCTGTAATTTTCATCATAGGTACACGTCAACTATGACAGACAAATTGAGGGGGAAAAATGCAGAAAATCACATTGTAGGATTTTTAATGAATTTATTTGCAAATTATGGTGGAAAATAAGTATTTGGTCACCTACAAACAAGCAAGATTTCTGGCTCTCACAGACCTGTAACTTCTTCTTTATGAGGCTCCTCTGTCCTCCACTCGTTACCTGTATTAATGGCACCTGTTTGAACTTGTTATCAGTATAAAAGACACCTGTCCACAACCTCAAACAGTCACACTCCAAACTCCACTATGGCCAAGACCAAAGAACTGTCAAAGGACACCAGAAACAAAATTGTAGACCTGCACCAGGCTGGGAAGACTGAATCTGCAATAGGTAAGCAGCTTGGTTTGAAGAAATCAACTGTGGGAGCAATTATTAGGAAATGGAAGACATACAAGACCACTGATAATCTCCCTCGATCTGGGGCTCCACGCAAGATCTCACCCCGTGGGGTCAAAATGATCACAAGAACGGTGAGCAAAAATCCCAGAACCACACAGGGGGACCTAGTGAATGACCTGCAGAGAGCTGGGACCAAAGTAACAAAGCCTACCATCAGTAACACACTACGCCGCCAGGGACTCAAATCCTGCAGTGCCAGACGTGTCCCCCTGCTTAAGCCAGTACATGTCCAGGCCCGTCTGAAGTTTGCTAGAGTGCATTTGGATGATCCAGAAGAGGATTGGGAGAATGTAATATGGTCAAATGAAACCAAAATATAACTTTTTGGTAAAAACTCAACTCGTCGTGTTTGGAGGACAAAGAATGCTGAGTTACATCCAAAGAACACCATACCTACTGTGAAGCATGGGGGTGGAAACATCATGCTTTGGGGCTGTTTTTCTGCAAAGGGACCAGGACGACTGATCCGTGTAAAGGAAAGAATGAATGGGGCCATGTATCGTGAGATTTTGAGTGAAAACCTCCTTCCATCAGCAAGGGCATTGAAGATGAAACGTGGCTGGGTCTTTCAGCATGACAATGATCCCAAACACACCGCCCGGGCAACGAAGGAGTGGCTTCGTAAGAAGCATTTCAAGGTCCTGGAGTTGCCTAGCCAGTCTCCAGATCTCAACCCCATAGAAAATCTTTGGAGGGAGTTGAAAGTCCGTGTTGCCCAGCGACAGCCCCAAAACATCACTGCTCTAGAGGAGATCTGCATGGAGGAATGGGCCAAAATACCAGCAACAGTGTGTGAAAACCTTGTGAAGACTTACAGAAAACGTTTGACCTGTGTCATTGCCAACAAAGGGTATATAACAAAGTATTGAGAAACTTTTGTTATTGACCAAATACTTATTTTCCACCATAATTTGCAAATAAATTCATAAAAATCCTACAATGTGCTTTTCTGGATTTTTTTCCTCATTTTGTCTGTTATAGTTGACATGTACCTATGATGAAAATTACAGGCCTCTCTCATCTTTTTAAGTGGGAGAACTTGCACAATTGGTGGCTGACTAAAATCTTTTTTTCCCCACTGTATTCGCTCCCTACCTATTGGTCAAATTCACCTTTCTGCAACCGCTCTTAATTACGTCTTGTGATCTTCACAAGTAAGATCTGATAAAGAAAGGTGAGCATTTTTTCTTTGTGTCTGTAAAGCTCCCATGATGACAGGCGCTTGTCTTTTCATGACAGACAGGCGCTATAATATGGAAACTCATCATCCAGTTATTGGATGGTTATAATGAAATGCAGTCTTTCCCACAGAGAAACACAAGCCCTATATTCACATGTTGACATGCTTGAAATCAGTAGAAAGAAACGCATCAGTGCTTGTGTGTGTGTGTGTGTGTGTGTGTGTGTGTGTGTGTGTGTGTGTGTGTGTGTGTGTGTGTGATTATAGGAGGTGACTCTGTCAACGACCTCCATCCATACTGACATAAAAATACAATTTGAGTCCGTCAAAGCTGCATGCCAGATGCAAATTAAATATTTATTATTTCCTATTTTTTTTCACCCATTTAAATACTTTTGTAAGTCAAATTGCTACAATTTACACAGAAAGAGACATTTGCCACAACATTTCCTCCATATATATATTGCTTTGCAAATAAATGACTGTGTGTGACAATGACTGTATAAATTGGCTCAGTTCTACTGACTTGAAAATAGGATAACAGGAGAAATGTAATATGGATTTAGACATATGAAAGCCTAGCTGAGAGCAGGGTTGGGCTCAATTCGAATTGAAGGCAGTCAATTCAGTAAGAAAACTAAATTTATAATTCCAATGGCTTCTTAATAAACTGAAAAGTAGATATTTATTTCAAAAGTTTTAACATTTCTGAATGTTAAATTCAAATAACTTCCTGAACTGACTGCCTTCAATTCGAATTGAGCCCAACCCTGACTGAGAGTGAGTGACACATCCCAGCTTCCTGAACTGTGTTGTCAGTGTATAAGTGTGGTGTTCAGTTCAGCCAACTGACCGACCTCCTGCACCCTGTCAAAGGACATCAGGGAGCTGGGGCTGGGCTACCCATCGAGTCTGCCGGTCAGAAACTATCAGTGTTCACTCCTGATGCAGCTAGTCTAGTGCTGTGTTTCACCTCAATGGATTGCAAATCATATACAGAAAATCTCTTTTGATTTGAAAGGTAAAATGCAGAGAAGATCATTCTTCATCTGTTGGGCTGCCTGCATCCCAAATGGCACCTATTCCCTATTTAGTTCACCACTTTTGACCAGGGCCCATGGGGCTCAGGTCAAAAGTAGTGCACTATATATGGAATAGGGTGCCATTTGGGACGCAGACTTGGTCTCATTCAGATGAGTGGCTATCCAACACCACCACATGATAGAAGAGAAGAAAGCGGATTTGGGAAGTGAACTGTAGATCACAGTGTCCCAGACAGACAGACCCTCACACTGACACCACCAGGGACACACACACACATTTTTACATTGACATTTTAGTCATTTAGCAGACGCTCTTATCCAGAGCCACTTACAGTTAGTGAGTGCATACATTTTCATACTGGCCACTCATGGGAATCGAAGCCACAACCCTGGTGTTGCAAGCGCCATGCTCTACCAACTGAGCTACACACACACACACACACACACACACACACACACACACACACACACACACACACACACACACACACACACACACACACACACACACACACACACACACACACACACACACACACACACACACACACACACACACACACACACACACACACACACACACACACACACACACACACACACACACACACACACACACACACACACACCTGAAGCCTCAACACAGTTTATTCTCCTGTTCTCCCTCAGGGACATGACGAGGATGTTTGCCAGTGAGACATATTGCCATGTCATCGTCAGCAGCGTCAACGTTTACCGTGACTACATCCCTTTCAATTATGTGTTCAGATTACCCCGAGGCATCCGAGGCACTGAAGTTATCTTGGCTTCATATACACTACTCACATAGTTTTTTTCTGTTTTAACTCTCAGGAAGAGCTCTCTGTGCACCTGGCTGCAACATCAGTGTAAAACAAGATAGGCTCTTATTGTGATGAGTTATATAGTCCAGTGATGCAGAAGCCACAGGCCTAGAGTAAT